CTGGTTACTTGCTGTTCAGCAGCCTAAATGGGAAAAAAAATCTACAGAGAGCCTCTTAATAGCCCGAAATGATGGTCAATATAGACATTATATACTGTACATAGATGCACAAAAATATTAATACAACCTTATGTACTGTATAGGTTCTGTCTAGGTATGAACATTCCATTACATATCTATGTGAATGTCATTGACTGGTACTTTTTGCAAGGCAGCCTGTATTTTAGGTTTAGTGGCCATTTAAAATCTGAGAAGTAATTTGCAGCATCTTTACAAAAATTTGACATAATTAAAATTAAATTGTAGAGACCAAACGAAATTTAGCAGCATCATTATTTACAGGGGACTGGATAATTTAATCCTGTAGTGTCAAAGGACTTTCCTAATTTATTCAACTCTCAAAAGAAAACTGTACTGAAAGAAATATATGTAAGCTACTATTGCTAACCTATCCTTATAAAAATGCACGCTGCCTGGCTGCCCTGCATATTAAATGACTTTAAAAATTTAATTTTTGACTCAGAACAGCTTTAGAGCTCAGGAATATCATACTTGTTCCATGAGCACCAAATCTAGAAAATCAGTATGAAAGCCAGGCACATAGAATTTTCTCCAGAAGAGATATAATAATAATAACAATAGTGGCAGCTTCCATAATTCTTGTATGTTAGTTCACAATAACAAAATGGTTTCAGAGAAAATATTTTAGTGATGTGTACACAAACGCACATATCAAATTCTGTGTTTGGAGTAGGGGAAACCTTAGCACTTAAAAGCTAGGGTCACCTTTTGATTGAAATGGACTATGTAGTCAAGGGACCCCAGTAGGATAAATACACGGTGCGGTTTTGAAAAATATTGCCTAATGTAATTGCTATACCTGTAGGCCATCTGCGGCTCCCTCAAAGCCTGGAGAAACAATTTTGAGCTTGGCCACTCCAGGAGGATAGAAAGCGCTGGGAGGCTATTGAGCAAGGGAGAGCGCTCAATTCTGTGATGCTGGGGGTGAACAGTCAACACAGGCCACACCCTAGCATCAAGGCATTGCCAACAATGGAAGTTTTTTTGTAATTGCTGTAATTCCAGCAATAACATTAAAGTGTTACTAAACCCAGGACCCTGCATTCACTATCTCTGGTCTCCCCGGACCCTGCATTCACTATCTCTGGTCTCCCCGGACCCTGCATTCACTATATCTGGTCTTCCAGGACCCTGCATTCACTATATCTGGTCTCCCAGGACCCTGCATTCACTATATCTGGTCCCCCACAGTACACACTACATGGAAATGCAATTATTTTAGTAAATGTAAACTGCTAAATACCTTTTCTCATCAGCAGTTAGAGCAGTCCTGTGACTTCTTTCAGTGTTCAAACTCCTCCTACAAGCTTTAGCTAGTGCTGGTCTGTTTTCTGCTCTAGGAGGATGCAAAGCCCCTGCCCTCTGTCTGGACAGTGCTGATTGGCCCTGTGCAGATCACATGCACTCTCCCAAGAAAAAAAAAAAAAAACCTTTCTAGCAATACACACTAAACTGAACATGTGCAGAATGGCTACGGGGTCAGTCTGTCTCCTCAGGAGATAAGATGTGGACATTTGAAGAAGAGGAAGAGCAGAGAAGTCAGGGTTAAACAGCCTTTTTACACAATGCAGAGGATTAACCCCTTAGGTCTGGCCAAGCACTGGTTAAAGCTTGTAGGAGGAGTTTTCATTATGTTCTGACTATCCTATGAGGCTGCATAACCCCTGATCTTCTGTCTGGACAGTGCTGATTGGGCTTTTGCTGATCACATACACCCGCCTCCCCCCCCAAAAAACAAAACAAAACAAAAAATGAATTCTTTAGCCATACACACTAAACTGAGCATGTACAGAGTGATGCCTAGAGCTCTGTACTGTCAGCAAATGGATTGGGGACTGTGCAAGAAGGGGAGGATCATAGAAGACAGGATCAAACATCCTGTTTACACAATGCAAAGGAATAACCCCTTAGGTTCCACAGTGAGTATAACAAGCATGCTTTACTGCATATACAGACTGATTTTACTGTTGTGGGTTTAGTAACACTTAAAATACACTGGGCCATTTTGAAAAATATTGCTTTAACCTACTGGAGCCTCTTGACCGCACAGTCCATTTTATTCAAAAGGCGAACTTAGCTTTTATATATCATTAAATGTAAAGGGTCTTAAAACCTAAAATAAAAAATTGGCTAGTAACATTCACAAACACATAATGGGTGCCGGAATATGTCAAAGATACCCAGAATTAGTACATCTTTATGCCCATCCCAACAGTAAATCAAAACATTTTTTTTATATGGGGGCTTGTATTTAAGGTTTAGTTAAGTAGTTTTGCTTATTACTCTTTGATATTTCTGGTTCCGCTTAGACTAGGTAGGCGATATGGACCATTAGGGTCCATGTTGCTACATCAAAAGGTTGTAGATATTATCCTTTGCTGTATTAGAGCATTTATGCAGTCAAGGCAAGTCTAGCTCCAATAGAAGACCAAACCTGCTATAAATGTTGGTTACATTGAATTGGCCCAGAAACAGCTCTGGTTCTCTTCCTATTGTATACACATTGTTTCTTTATAATTAACACTGAAAATTCACACAACAACCAAATTTAAATAAGAAAGAGAAGGTATTTGAAAGAAATACTGATACACAGGAGCATATACTGTAAATTCACTACATAACAAAAGGGATTTTCCCTATGCACATCCTGAACATAGTGTCTGAATGAAATGCATGGAGCTACAGCTTATGTGACGTCCAGAAATTTACTTGGAAGCAAATGGTTTAATGTGAACCTGACAAAATAAACAAGAGTAATATTTCCTGAAGAAGTCATCTATGAGCATCATCAGGTCATGTCCATCCCTCATCACAGGTGACATAATTTTGTCACAATGTAACTAATCAATGCATGGGCAAAACTTGTTACAATTATGGCCCTATGTGCTAGTAAGACCCATTCACGGGTCATCCTGCCGCAAAATGCATGTATTTTATCGCATAAAAATGTGTTTCAGGTAAAAAGGCCATTTGTTACTAAGTCGCTAGTTCACACCTATGTTCTGTAGCTTAGAATGCCTAAAAAATAAGATATGTAGCATTTTCCTTGAAGCCACACTCTAGCCAACACGGTTTCTTCTTATTTGGTTTTGAGCCTGGACCACTATCAGGCATTTATTGCCGTCTGTGTCTGGGAGTTTTATCTTTTTTTTCTGCCAATTGGACTAGTGTCGATCCGAAAAAAAAAAAATGTTTTTGGCTGCAGGGGGCCTTTAAAAGGCATGCCTAAGGACCTGTGAAAACACTTAGTAATGCACTTCATATATATGTATGTTACTGCATGCACCTAGGTGTGAAAGGGCCTATTGCGGTCCCTGAGAAGTCCTATTCATTTCAATTGTGACATGTCTATCACACATCAGGATTCATAGTCTGAAAACCGAGATGCCAAGCCTGGGACAGGTATATATACATCGTATGAAAACAACAAAAGTGAAAAAACATGACTCTGTATATATCATCACAGTATAAAGCACACAGAGCTTCAGGAAAAAGCCTGGTCAGGTTCACTTTAAACCATTACTTCTCTGCACTGAAGGTGGAAGACCACTGCTATTAAATGCATGATACTACATGAGAAGTAGATAAGTACTTAGGCTACTAACACATTTTGTCTGCAAATAGGGTATATATGTTGCCCTGAATATCCCTGTGAATAGAGCCCTTCCAGTCTAACGTAGGCATTTCACATAACATGAATATTGATATATTCAAAGTAAGACAGTATAAAAAAAAAAAAAGTTTCCAGTGAAGATGGAAACCAGGTCACTGCTGGGTTGTAGTGTCCACATCCTACATGTTAATAGTTTCATTTCAGGTGATACAGAAAACACAAAATTATTACTTGTTTGTTGGGATTTCTTCTCTATTCTTAACGCTTAGCTATTTATTTTATCTACTTTTTAAAGATAAAGAGACAAAGAATTTTTGATTTTATATTCTTAGTGAGCAGACAAAAATGTGCCTTATATGCAAAATCGTGCCATTTTTGCCAGATCCTTGAGAATTCCTAAGCAATGCTTGCTAAAAAATTAAACCAAGCAGAGTACATTGCTATAATGTTAACACAGGCTACAGGCCGCTCAGGGCTCGCTCAAAGGTAAAGCTGCTGAGGGTGGAGGCCCCAAGCTGAGCAAAACCCATTATATGCATTCAGGTTGGGTTTTTAGTTCTGTAAGCTCCACATTTTACATTCACCTTGGGCCCTTATATTTGTTTAACCTGTCCTGAGGTGACCCTCCTCTCAGGAACTAGCTAGATTATTTTCAGAAGTGGCATAGGCAAATTCTGCATTGCTGGAACTGCTGATCACAAAGAACATGCAGGCTAATTATTAATTCCAAAAATACCTGAATTTAAAGATTTTGATTTCCAAGAGCTGGGTTTTAAGCAGTAACATAAGCACATACAGCTTTGAACATGATTGTCCTAGACAGAGGTTAACGTGAAACAATATCTTGTATGTTACACAACTTTGATCCCAACTTTTAAGAACACAGTACGAGCAGAACAGATGGAGCTTGCGCTCTGCAATATAACAATATATTGCATAAGTGCTTGTCCTTGTATTGGCTTATTTGCTCCAAAACTAGAGATCCCTGTATTTAGTGTCATGTATTTTCCTCAACACACCTTACTTAGTCATTAGATGACCATTCTGAAAATTTGTGATTTATGCCTGTTCATGACTTAAACCTTTCCAGTGACACAAGGGGTCTACATGGACCCCCTTCCAGCTGAAGGTAACAAGCTTTTTGACCTGCTTGAAGTGAATTGTGCTTTGATCTTATAAAAACATTAAATGCACACACGTGGATTGAAATCAGTGCTTCAAAAAGGTAACTACTGTACAGCTTGTTTGAACATTAAGACAATATTCATACACATGTGTTTTTCAAGTCTGCAATGAAGGTCATTGCTTAGGCAAAGGCCGCTGAGGAGGAGCTCCAGAAGCACCACTTGCGTTTTGACCGGTGTTTATTAAGGACACTGTCTTCCTTCTCCCTTTCCTTCTTCACTCGCTGATAGTGGTCTTCTTCTTTCAGGTACCAGACTGGTGGCCATCGATGTCTTTCAAAATATTCTTGATTTTCTGGGAAAGGAAATGGAACAGTTTTACAGCAGGGAAATCATGAAAGTCTATCTTAAAGTGGTTCTAGAGGCAGGACAGTTCTTAATGCATGAAGGAAAAAAATGGTCCAGTATTTGTTTTGCCTCCATAAATAAAGTCGTAACTCAATTTAGCGCTGTGGCCAAGTACAGCAGCGCTGCTCTCTTCCTCTCCACACAGGACTCAGTGAGAGCCACTGGCTCCAGCTGCTGTCAATCAAATCCTATAAGGAGGGAGTTTGGGGCAGGGGAAGGGGAGGGGGTGTCAAGCTGGACTGTGTGTCTATAGACACACACAGCCTGGCTCGGCAGCAAGCCTGCAGGTGCCCCCCAATAGGAAACGGCTTCCTATGGTTGTGAAACAAGATGAGGAGGAGCTGAGATCGCCAGTCGGGGACCCCAGGACAGGAGGTTCAGGACCACTCTGTGCAATACCACTGCACAGAGCAGGTAAGTATAACATGTTTGGTATTTGACACAAGTGACACTACTTTCTCTTACAGCTAGGGAATACAGTGGTGTTAGTCTACTGATTGGACAATAAAGGAGCAATAACACACTGTTAAGACATCAACTCTGCTCTCTTCTCCTGTCAGCATGTTCCATGTCAGAACATAATCATGAAACAGAGTCTGTCTAGCTCCTACTGCCCCCTCTTTTCAAAGTGCTGTTGAGTAAAGGATGACAAAAGTCCAATATCATGACAGATTCAGACACTTATGAAAGTTAAATATATATTTAAATATTTTTTTAACAAATAAATATTAGGATATGAAAATAAAATATACAAAATATATGCAAAAAAGTCCACTATTAAATGATCAGTCTCCACACCAAGTTAACACTCAGAATACTTTCAGTTGTTTCACATGCTTCTTTTGTGATATGCACCCAAATGATCACTACCAGTAGTGGTTGTTTAGGTACATATCACAAAAGGAACATGTGGAACAACTGAAAGTATTCTGGGGATTCACTTGGTATGGAGACTGATCAATTAATAGTGGACTTTATTTTGGACTGTTTTGCAAATATTTTGTATATTATAGTCCATAATTTGTATATTAAGTTCACCATTTAAAGGCGGACTTTATTGCACATTGTTTGTATGTTATATTTTTTTATCTTAATATTTTCATTTGGTTTTTGCACATATAGTTATTGAATTTACTCTATGCGTGTACACAATCTGTTGAGTGCCTACTTTGATATATTGTTATTTCTTCAAGGGTGGTTATACACTTAAAAGGGGCAACTTCATCTTAAATAAGTTAACCATTTAAATCACAATTGTTTGGGGAGTATTGTTAGATAAGGCAGACACGTTTATACTTCTTGTAATGTTAAAGTTTCCATAAACTAGCATATTTTGTTCCTCAACTTTCTAGTAGACATGATGGGACCATCCATGTAAAAAAAAAGTTCCAGTGTACAACTAGGTCTAAACAATGGCAGGCAGTTGTTAAAACCAAGAGGTCAGATGTACCATTGCACTAGAATAAAAGGTTTACCCTAAGCAGGTCTAATTTGTTAGCCTGGTTAAAGTGAGAAATGTGGCAGATGGATGAATAGTGTAGTTTCACAATTGTCATAGCCAGGTTAATGAACCTCTAGGTCACCAGGTGGTAATTACGGCTGAAACCAACACAAGCTATAATACATCACTAATTATCCTGGGGCTGTCATTCTAGATGTGTATAGGATTAGCGCTGTGCTTTCTGTAGTATATACACATCACAATGTTTAGTACAGCCAAGCCTAAAAAAAACACATGCCTTTTAAGAAAGGGCAAGAAAACGAGTGGCAGTATGGTGGTCATCATATACAATGGCAGCTGTGGTCTTTGTTAATTTAGGCTATGAATCTACCAGTTTGGTATCATATCAGTGACAATCTATTATCAATCACCTACAAGTGACATATTAGTCACAACAGGTGACAATTATTATCAGGTTATTTAAACAACTCTCTAATCAGCTGGCATATTATCAACTAGGACTAGTTGACAAGCACATATGTCATTTTAAAATGTAAACAATGGACCTGTGTAGGAAGGACAATGAATGATGGTGGTAATTGCAGCCTCTCATTTTCTAGCCTGCAGCAGAAAAATGATAAACTGGAATCTAAATGGTTGCTATAGGCCACACCTGTACTATTCTTCAATCCAGTTTTTTTTCCACATGAGGTCTAGTATGTTGCTAAGTAACCACTCACTAAAATGATATTTCCTTAACCCCTTCACACAAGCAGATTTGATATGCTTACTATCTTACCAAGTTTAATAGCTTTGCTTGACATCTAGAATGTTTAATTACTTTGTAAAAATAGAATATTTTTTAACAAAATAAGTGGTAACTATAGTTAATTCAGGGAAATGCATTAAATAATTCAAGCTCATCGGGTTATGTAATATAGCCCAGTCTCATGAATATTGGACATACAAAAGGCTACCTACAAAGAATCAAAATAACAGGTTCAAATAAAAAGCATTAGATTTACCCACCAGCAGATTTTGCTTTGATGTCTTTACGGAACTTGGAGCAAACGCTGTTATAATTTGTGCAGATATGATGCAGACACCAGGCAGCCAACTGATGTGCATTGTGAAACTAGAAGTCAAATATTTAGCTCAGTTAATACAAAGCCCAATAATTAAGGCAATTACATTTGACATTATTGTGACTTTATTATGAATACATTTGGTCAGAGCAAGCACAGTGGGGCAACAGCTTTTAAATTTCTCAGCTTATCTCACTCTCTTTCCTTAAGTATTTATGCATGCCATTAAAGCCTAAATTCATGCATTAAAAGTAGTAACAGTGATAATTATTATTTCTCATGCCAGATCTTATTTTGTATATATGGTATTAACCATCAGTCCAGGGCATTGTACTTAACTTGTGTCAAATGCACGTGCATATTCTATTTTGGTGCCCAGGATTACCATCAACTAATTGCTGTAGTGTGTACACAGCACTGAGGCACCGTTATCTTCGGGAAAGGAGTGGGGAGTGATAGATCAAGGAGAGGGGTAGGTATGGGCATACAGTGCTTCACCAAGCTGCTGAAAAACGACCCTGATGTAGGCACTGAGAGGTGCCAGATATTTGTTAACAGTTGCAAATTAGGCAATTTAAGAGTAATGGCAATTGGTAAAAACAAACCTGTCTTTACACACCCTATATAAAACTGGCAGAATAACCCCCTGGACCTGACAAAATGATCCCTTGCATGATAAGTATAACAAAATTTGTTCTGAGTTACCATGAATGAAGAAAAACAATGCTCTAGCTCCCATGCAACTTTGCACTACAGCAATGTAGTCAGTGCTTGAGGCAAAAACGTATAGAGCAGGTTACCATCACAAATATGCTAACTGATTTATTATGCATAATAGGAATATCTATATAAGAAAAAGAATTTGAATATACTGCTAAACAAAAATATTTGTGTAAAATTGGTAGACATTATTAATGTGAAAACTGCTAATTTGTTTTTCTCCATCAAGACTGCCTGCCAGTATGGCATTGTGAATATCTGTGTTTGTCTTGTCTGATTCACACAATTCCACGACTGTCTGATCTTCAGCTAAGATAATCCCTACTTAATACATTTACATCTGCTCTCCTCCTGCCACCAGGTTACCCCTCAGTGCTTATACAGGAATATGCACTTTGCCTGATGGAACAACTGTCATATTACTGACCTGAGCCAATTCCAGATAAGTCAGCACTTCATGATCAATATCCAGCCCATTCATTGCAGCTTTGGTCAGCTCTTGCACAGCATGCTGTTCTGCAGGGCAAAGCACATTTTATGCTGTATTACAACCATTATAAATAATACAATAATTTGATTTTAAAAATATACACAGGATGCCGAATCTATTATTAATCTACATGCAAACTGACCCTAACATTTAGCAGAATGTCGCAAAGTGTGAAAATGTGAGTTCATCTTTATAACAATTTGAAACTATAAAAGTAGCTGTGAGATAATTGCATTAGTAGTTATTATTTATACCTTTATTTATATTTATTTATTTCAGGTACTTATATAGCGCCGTCCATTTATGCAGCGTTTTACACACACACATATATATATATATATATATATATAGTACATTCACATCAGTCCCTAACCCTCAAGGGGTGTACAATCTAAGGTCCCAAATTCACATTCATACATACACATACTAGGGCCAATTTAGACAGGAGCCAATTAACCTACCAGCATGTCTTTGGAGTGTGGGAGGACACCAGAGTACACGGAGGAAACCCACGCACGCACAAGGAGAACATGCAAACTCCAGGCAGGTGGTGCCGTGGCTGGGATTTGAACCAACGACCCTAGTACTGCCAGGTGGAAGTGCTAACCATTTAGCCACTGTGCTGCATTACTGCAACTAGGATTGTACAGACTTTGAAAGTACCCATGCTGCCCAATGGTAAATAGCTGAAATTTGCTTGCCACAATGAGAGATCATCAATGTGAATGCAAGCATTTCAGGAACCACTGTGATAACAGGGATAGTTCCAAAAAGCTGGCAATGAGAAAAACTGCAACATTTTTTATTAGACACAAATAAAACTTCAACTATCCTTCTGTAAAATCTGTTAAGCAATAGTTTAATAGTTAAAAAGTTTATGACTTCCCTGCTCTGCTCACTATCTCAGGTTTCTTGGAGTGAAAGCATTAAAATGGCCACAAAGGGTTCTTTACTTCTCTGCCCTGCTCACCATCTCACATTTCTTGGAGAGAAAGCATTAAAATGGCCACATAGGGTTCTTTACTTCCTGCCCTGCTCACCACCTCACATTTCTTGGAGAGAAAGCATTAAAATGGCCACATAGGGTTCTTTACTTCCCTGTCCTGCTCACCATCTCACATTTTTTGGAGAGAAAGCATTAAAATGGCCACATAGGGTTCTTTACTTCCCTGCCCTGCTCACCATCTCACATTTCTTGGAGAGAAAGCATTAAAATGGCCACAAAGGGTTCTTTACTTCTCTGCCCTGCTCACCATCTCACATTTCTTGGAGAGAAAGCATTAAAAAGGCCACATAGGGTTCTTTACTTCCCTGCCCTGCTCACCACCTCACATTTCTTGGAGAGAAAGCATTAAAATGGCCACATAGGGTTCTTTACTTCCCTCCCTTGCTCATTATCTCAAATTTCAGGGAGAGAAAGCATCAAAATGGCCACATTAGGAGCCCCCAATGTGGCCATTTTAATGCTTTCTCTCCAAGAAATTTGAGATGGTGAGCAGGGCAGGGAAGAAAAGAACCTGAACCTCAGAGGACCTCTCTCCCTCCTTTTATATCTAACATGTACATTGACTATTCAGTGTATATCAATTTTCATTAACAGTACCATACATCATCGTGCTATCAGTAGAAATAAATATAAAATAGACAAATCTTTTCTACCCGCTCAAATGGCCACAACTCTTTTTTGGTCAACTAAAGTCCCAAAAAGTGAATGCCTGTGTGTGTTGTGACATAACTGCACTACTACTGCTCATACTATAGAACCGTCTCATCCCATGTATAGTCAACAAAACATTTCAAAGAAATATATTTTTAAACAGGAAGATTTATTTTCTATCTCATTCATTTTTTGCTTGTGCTGTCTTTGTTGAGAACGATTGGAAGATTTCCTACCTGAAGCAGCTAGGTCTAAATATATCCATGAACATGAAATGATAATGAACTGACCGGGCCAATTTTGACAATTGGAATAATGGTCATCATGTCTATGGGTAGCAGAAGGCCCTAACAAAATTGATAATTAGAGTTTGGCTGGGTTAAATTATCTTCCCAGTGGATAAGCTGAGGCCTGCATTTTCATGGAACAATCGTTTATTCAAATAATCATTTGGCATTTAGAAGTTCCTTTTGGAATTTAGTGTTTATACAAGGTTACCAGATTCATGCAGGCCGACTGGCTTTCAGCAAAGCTTTATCACTTTATCATTAATGCATTGGTATGACTTTGATTTATGTGCACATATCAATATGTTCTTACCTGTGAGGGCAACCAAATGTGGAAGGCAAATTCTGTTGGCCAACGCAATCAGCTCCAGTGGATCCATCTCAGGTGTACATGACAGAAGCTTAGTGTACAGATAGTCTAATACTGCTTGCATTGATGATTTGCTTACATTAGGAAGAATGACCTGAAATATGAGCACATATAAAGATATCAGCTGAACATGCATATGCAAGCAGCCAACCAATTACAATCATCACTCTCATGCTATAATATATTTATGTATGCAAGACTTTGTATGTTATAAATCAAAAGTATATCTTTAAAACAGTACATACATTTATGTTAACTTGGTAACTCATATTAAAATTTGTGGAGAAATGTTTAGCTAATGCCTCTACTAATGGACAGTTGGGAACCACAATAGGCAACACCTTACTTTGCTTGTTATAAAATGTGTCCTTGCTTCAACATATGCTAATGTTATTCTTAGTTTGACCAGGAGATGCTTAATTGCTGAAACAAGCCAGCTCACAAAAGGCCATTAAAGGGTTTGATAAGGAGTATAATATAAAGCAAGAAAAAGGAAATCATTCCACATGTGGGCTAAAAACATACTTTATAGCTATTGCCATGTACCTCATTATTTGCACTTTCTACAAATGAACCTCCGAACATTGCAGACATCCATTCACAGCTGCAGATTAGAAGTGGTTTATGGGCACTGATGCTTCCATCATCCAATTTAAAGATCACATCTGGAAATAAATATGAAGCCATGGTCACTCAATGTGTGCAACCTACAGTGTCTTCAGTGCTAGCAGAAAATGCCCCCTCCCCTCCTACCATTATGATGATAGACACTGCACTTAGGCAATTCCATTTTTGTACTTATAGGTAAACCATGACAAACAGCTACAGAGTTAGAATGTAGAATAACTGCAGCCTTAAGTATCCCCCCCTCAAAAAAAGCACAACAAAGGGCCCAAGTTCAGGTACAAGAAATATGCGCCATTAATATGATGACATTATTGAAATTTGAAAGGTGTAAGTCATCACACATTATCCCATGATGCTTTCATTGAATTTCATAGATCAACAAGGGCTGTTTCATACAAAGAGAAGTACAGAAGCTTCTAATTTCAGATGTCTGTCATGAGAAGGAATTTGTATCGAATGTATCGAATCGAAAGCACTAGAGTTTAAGCTGGGATGCCCAGAGTCATTAAGGACTGTGGATCCAAAAATGTGAATTTATATTATTCTAGACTAGAGCAACTCTGAAAAGCTTGATCGCAAATGCAATATACTTATTTCATAACTAGAAAGCTAAAATAAAGTTAATGGCACAATTTGGGCCCCTCTCCTACTGGGTCTGCACAGCTCATCAAAAAATTCAAAATTTCTCTCAAGACGCTGTAGAATGATTAGGCTACTAATAAGGTTGTCTGAATGTGCTCTTAACAGGTTAAACAAAATATGGTCTCACCTGAATGATCAATTGTATTAACTTCCCAATATGGGAGGACAGAACACAGACAGAAAATCATCTACAAAAATATAACCCTTATACTGTAATCCCTCAATCAGTATGTGTAGAATGTTTCAAAATGACATTCTCCTTTTTAAAAGTTAATGAGTTGCATGGGAGGAAAAAAAAGATGGTATGACCTTTGAAAGATAATGAAAACATACTTATATCGAAATGAGGACTGCAGCTTCAAGATAAAGAAAACATGGCTAAAGGCAAAGCATCTGACCAAGAAGGTTTCGAGGTGGAAAGAGGTCAATGATACTGTTGCATAGCTGTAAACCTAACTGTGTGAAGGTGCAAAATTTGCAATTCTAATTGAGACTGAGGTGCTCAATAGATGATTTAGCCGAAAAGAGCTGTAATCAAAAGGCAATTTGCTCACCAGAAAAGGTTGCCTTGGAAAGACATTCCTTGATTCGATTTGCTTTCCTGACATGGAATGCTTTTGTGATCTCCTGGTTCATAAAGGCTTCTTTGTTTGTAATGTTTTCCACCATCATTCTCAAGTCAAACACTTCCAGGATTTCTGCAATTTGTGCCACTCTCATCAAACCCTTCTCATTTTCATCTAACTGTCCTGTGTACAGAAACCGTAGCACAGTCTTAAAAGGCCCATACTGTATAGAAGAGTCCATTCGGACCACAGTCATTGAACAAGTCCTGTTTGAAATTGGGTTGACCATCAATTCTCGGTGCATGCTAAGAAAGCCTTTGCTCCATGTTGACAGTGCAACACAACCTTCTCCTTCACAGTCTGTAGTGAGTAAAGTATCATCACTTCTTGATATCCGAAGACAGGCGTTTGAAGGTTTCAAGGAAGCCCCATCTGTGTCCTCATCTGTATCGAGACTTAATGTCCGCAAAAGCAAGTCCTTGGTAGGCTTTTCTTTCTTGCAGTGCCGATCAGCAGAATTCTGAGACTGTTCATATTCCATTAAAAAAAGGTCATAAAATTTTGAGGAGGAGGTAGCAAGGTAAATTTTATGAGCGAAGATCTGTTTTTGGTCCTGAAGGACAAACGTGACATCTGCACACAAAGGATTGTCCAACAAATCTCCAGCATCATTCATGTTAGACTCACTGGATTCAGGGATTTTAATAACTGGTGGTGGTGATTTGGGGGGAAGAAATGGTGCTTGAAGTAAAGGTTTCTGAACTTTCTTTAGATGAGACTTCCAAAACTGGAGGTGTCTTCTGGAGATCAAAGCTGCTCTGATTGCATTGTCAAAAACATCCTTTATCCCAAACTGATCAAAAACACTGGTTTCGTAATATGGAATACCAAGTTCCTTTGCAACTTCTCGACCTCTTTCTGGTGGCAAAATATCTCCTCTTTTTATAGGTCTGCAAATAAAAATAAATATTAAATAGAGTATACAAATTCAAAAATAATATCGTAAAGACTAACTCCAAGGAAATGAAGAAAACATCACTTTTCCTAATAAGTCTCGAAAGAGATTTGCATGTCAGCTAGTAATATTATTACCTGATATTTGTCTTAAAAAGTGTTCAGCTGCTCTTGAACAGTGTAGCCTTAGTATAGGCAGTGGCAATGGGGAAGATAATTTGATCAAGCACTTACCTAGCCAGTGGTCGTCTTGCCCTATTAACTGCTTCAAGATCGGCATATCGCAGGTCCAGCTGGCAGCCAACCAATATGACAGGGGTGCGAGGACAGAAATGCTTTATCTCCTGAGCCCACATTGTTTTTACATGATTTAGGGAGTTAGGATTTGCGATTGAAAAGCACAGGACAACCACATCAGATCTAGGAGAAAATACATTAGGACATATACAATTATTAAACTCTATTCGGTATGCATAGGTTACTGGGTATCACAAAAATGAAAAGGCAAACAAGCATTCATTTTATAGTACAAGTAAGGCAGTGTTAGACTGTCTATCTATCCTAGTGGAATAATTATATATTAAAAATATTTTGGTAGAAAAGCTGCAGTTGTCAGCTCTCCTCCAGGTTTTGTAAATCATGAAACTGTTGCAAATGGCCCTTCACATAAGTACTGGCCAAGTAACTCTTCATCCATATATGCATGGTAAAATCTGTTTCATTAGAATAGACACATATGACCAAATTTATTAAAGATTTGCTGCCTGATGATCCCTCTCACGGATGGTAATTATTTGTCACTACACATTAATGTTCCATTTTTTTCTTCTTTTGCTAGAATGACACACAGTGAATAAGCAAGATTACTGTGATCATTCCATACAATGTAAAAGACTGAAAAATCTTACAACTTGCATTTCAAAAAATAAACTGAAGGCCCCTGAATGTTAGCTGTCTCTGCATAGACATGGGTAAGCCATCACAACTAGTAGCGTGTTCCACTCTAAATAGTCTTTCCATGCCAAGTTCCCACAATACTGTACAAGTTAATCCTAAACCATCAGAGCTGAGATCTGAATGCCTTGTGATCATACACCTCCTGCTCTTTTTCTAGATCTCAGTAGAATGGCAGGAAGATCATGCTAGACACTTGGTTTCTAAAAATAATATGCTAATACACTAACACAGCAGATTTTTCCTTGTTCGACTTTAAAAAAAGTGTATCTATGCAAAATATAAAACTTAAGAAAATGCTTTTTTTTTTATAGTTGTAGGGAACTCGAGCAGCATGACCTGTATTCATTATTAGATGTATTAAGAAAGGCACTGGATCAATGCTGTGTAATAGCCCCCAAGAGTGCACATCCGTTGAAAACAGGGCAGAAGATAGATGCGGACTGGTTGCTATAGTTCACTGCTCTTTTCTTAAATAAATAAAAGCATGTGAATGAACTACAGCAATATCTGTTTTTTTGGGATAATGAATTTATACCTAGTGATAAGCACAATTAACTTGCCGTAGTTATATGTATGAATGCTCCATACTATGGGAACACCCCACTTAATATTGGACACGCAAGATAAATCCTTCTAGTTTGATGACAGCAGCTCGCCTAGTACAGACGCTCATCACATGACCGGCTTTGATACACAACTGCTGATCTCCACAGCTCTGCTCTAATAATCTCTTATTCACGTCAATTCAGACTTTACAATGGTAATTATAGGGGGCTCAGGAACATAATAACCACTTTATTCATTGTGAACTGCAGTTAGTCATCCACTTTGCTCTCTTTGCTACTTATACTACAAGCGTCGCCTCTACATTATTAAAAAGAAAAAAAAAATCATAAAAACTAGGATATAATAACTGTGTTTTTCAGTAGTAGTTTTACTAGCTTACTATAACATTTTATTTTTATGAGACAGAAACAGGTCAGAATTCTTCATATCTGCAAAATTTAAAGTCAGAGTAAATCCTCCTGACTCCAGTATCTTGGCGCTGCATGCTTTTAGCACAGGATTGCTTGCAGCTAACACAGCCATAACTATAAAGGTTTCCAGCACTGAGCACATAAACACTGTCAGTCTGTAAATGTTGATATGACTGGCTATATGAGCAGGAATGGTGACTATATACTAGTAATCATTTCAGGATTTCACTATCTGAACACTGATGTCTAAATACCATCAGTCATGAATTTTTTGCTGATGCATGGAGCAGTTACCGTTTATTCTTGCCTATGTTAGAGCGCCATAATTTTTCTCCCTGAAAAGGTTTTCTACAACATCCTCAGAACACAAGAAATCCATATGCTAGGCATCTGCAAACTCTGCTTCCAGTAAATGCTTACATGCAGGAACCGACTGCCTTGACTTCTAATATAAGTGTCACACTTGGGTAAAGCTGCTTTTGATGTTCTGGACTGCAGCAAATTTAGCGAGCGGCTTTGTTAACATCTGTTTTAAGAAGTGGGGAACTGAAACAGCAAAGGGCTTTGGCGGATCAGGGGCTCCCTGTTATCCTGTGACACTTCTACAATATGCAAGCCCTGTAAAAGAAACCCAATCCTGAAATAGATGCCCATTTATACTTACCTTTCCAGTGGCCAATGTCTTCAAATGCCATTGATTTACTGCTCCTCAGCTGCTGCAGGTGTTCAAACCTTTTAAGTGGGTTGGATACCTGCTTCAAGGGCCCCACACAGTAATTTCATCCACCGCCTGGTACGTCCCATAGTAATGAACGAGCCAGCGAGAAGAACCACTCTGTGTGGCTGGAGAAGCAGGTATTCACATACCTGAAAGTGTAGAATACCTGCAATGACTGGGGAGCAGTGTCTAGGTATACAAGGATATTTATTCAGGTTAACTATTGCTTAATTTTCACACTGCTTTATCCCAAGCAAGAAACTCTACAGAAAATGATTAGGGATAGATTATACCATTTTTTTTGCTCTTGGTTGCAGTAAGATATAAAAGCTCAATATACAAATACTATTACCACTTTAGACATACAGAATTAAACTTTTCTTCTTTTGTGACAATGTAGTTGAGCCACATTAAAGACTTAAAAAATAAAGTGCTTTATATAACTGCTCTACATATTTCTAACCTCAACTTAAAAAGACTTCTAAAGCTATAAATATCAAAACCAGGCACTGCTCCAAGTATCTAGATGATATCCAATAACTTTTTTTATGAAAAAAAAAAATTCAATCCAAGACTTTGCCCAGGGGCTAAGTACTGATTAAGCTAGAAAGTGCACTGTAAAGTGCTTAGAAGACAAGCACAATGAAAGAATCCAAACCCGTCTGTTGCTTAAGTGTATTCATTGCTTGTTCAGATTATCCTCAGCCATTACAGGAGAGTTTGTACCTTTCATTACTGCTCCGTCTTGTTACAACAATATGTGGCTCTGTATATATTGTTGCTTTCTCATCTGTTTAATTCACAAACTTCGCCAACGTTACAACCAATCCTTTTTCTATGTAGATGGATTAATTGAAAACAGCTCCCTATATGTACTGTCATTATAAAGACGCCATGGAGAAGCATCCTTCAAAAGGAAGTTAATAAATTGTAATCCCCTGCCTTCTATTAAGCATCCAGCGTCATGAGTCAATGCTCCGCTGATCCTATAATTTAATGCAGCATGGGAGTGCAGGACCTGAATGGACCCACAAGAGTCTAGAAGGGTGGAACTGGGAGTGACCGTGACAGTTTGCAGATTAGAAGAGTAGCGTCAGATGCTAAAGAGAAACATTCACAGAGAAAATTGACATAGGCTTGCTGACATGTAACAATTTTTTTATGTGAATTCAAATGAAAATTACTTTTAATACCCTGTAATAAATGTACAGATTCTCTACGTGCATATTAGGCCTTGCTTCCTACAACTTCCAGTCACTGATCCTCAATATTGCTTTCTGCGTCCTCGCTGTAATTGCATTGAAGACTAGCAGCTCAACTTGCTTTAGAATGTATTCCTTAAAAAGCTGATTCAAACTGTATTCGATTATCAAATCATAATGTTGAAATGGGCCTAATATAGTCTTTAGCCATTACACACCCCTAGTGTTCTTTAACGTAAAATAATTAAAACTTCCTCTGGCTTGGTCTGAGCAGCCAATCAGTGACAGGGTCTGTACAGTATACCAGCCTGAAAACCCTTCACATTGCGCCTCTATCCTGGCAAATGACAGGAGAGCTTAGCGTGGTCAGTTCTCTAGGCATGCTGGGAACTCAATCTGCTCTCCTCCAATGATCTCTGCTGAGAACAGAAGAAATATGATCACTTATAAAAAATTGAAAAAAGGTATGTATAATATATTTTTTTTTATATCTATACACAAATGTTTTGCCTTTCATTTCTATTTTAAACTGAATAGGTTGTTTTAAAGGTGAAGGTTTACAATCACTTTAATTTCATTTTTATAAAATACTTTCCCATATGCAGACCTTGAGGAAATCTGTACTGACAGAAACAAGCAGAGCCTGCCCAGCTGCTGCCCTCCTTCAGAAAATGCTGGCTACCTGACTACCTCTAATTTGTCAGTTACTGACTTAGAACAAGCATGCAGATCAGGAAAGTCATAGCTCTTGTTTTGCATACTTGTTCCGGGTCAGTGACCTAGAAAATACTGAAGCTGCTGGATCACAATGACAGCCAGATGTCTAGCATTTTCAGCAAATGCAGCCTCCATTCACCCTCAGTACATGTTTGCTTTAACGTTTCTTTGTAAAGATAGGCACATAGACACAAACACTTATTAGGTGATCTATACTGAGAATTAAAAGACCTGTATTTTATACTGACCTCCAGTACTGTTACAATCATATAGCTTTCCTGAACTGTGATTATCCCATGATTTCATATAAGATATTACTTTAGCTGTTACTTACATGAAAATATAACACTGCCATAAATTAACAAATGGTTGTAAAACTTTATATGCAGAAACCCAACTACTCCATAAAAGTTTAAATGATGCAGCAATCTGCTGATAACCTGCAATGCAATGTAAGCCAGCGATGTCCTGCTTACTTAACCGTGCAGACATCAACAGAAGTGACAGCAGCAAGTGTCGTGTTTAATATGAGAGTAGGCACCAGCCACATCTGATGAAACCCTGTGAAGGACTGCTCTTAGAACCTGTGCCAAACCTCACATACCAAGTGGGTGCAGATCACTTAGCCATTCAAATAAACCATCACTATGTGCACAAGCTTCTGCAAAGCTGCTCACTGCATGTATACCCATCTGCAGCTCATGTAATTTCAAGTGTTCTTAGTCTACTGAAAGGATATGTAAATGTCTCAATCAATCAATCACCACACCTAGAAGAAATAGGAACAAATTAGAATTGGAGGATCAATTGAGTGAGGATCAACAAAGACACTTTTAGACAGCAGCAATG